CTTCGAATCTCTTCACCCAACACTTACACTCGAAATGGAAGTAAGCTCTACAATTATGAAACAAGAGATTACTCAAAACCCAACTTTTCTTCGTATATGTTCTAAATGTATGTCACTTCATGCTGATTCATATATCTCGTTCTTTCTCATTTTGTGGCGCTTGTGGTCATTTTGTATTTTCAAAGCCCTTGATCGGGCCCAGTTAGCGAGTTTATGATTCATTATCAACTTAATGAGGTATCGGTTGCCATAGCATACCAGATCCAAAACTGCTTGCTTGTGTAGCAGTTAATTGTGATTAATTTGATTTGGCTGTTTCTTCTTGCCTTTGAATTAATTTCCGCATGTGGTTAGACACTAGCTTCTTTCATGCTTCTTTAAACTAAACTCGCCAGAGACATTTAAAATTGTGCGCGAATTACTATTTATTTTTCCAGGAGAGTCAGAAATGAATTGCCTCTTAAATTTCACGCTATCTTTCACCTCATACACATTTTGGTTTCCACCTCTTCAGCGTAGACTTCATCGCGAGCAATCATTGAAGGGCAATCAAACATCCTCCATCAGCATCGGCAGCGCTTCTAGCAACTTGCCAGCATCTCGTGCCTCAAACCAGATAACTGATCGCTCGGTTGAAGGGGCTTCCGCCGAGGAGGCTGAGCAGACGCTTCGCTTAGTCAAGGAGCTTTGTCGTAAAGGCTTCGAACTCCTGCACCAATGGCACCAAACTGACCTTTGTCTTATGCTGCAGCCGTCGCAAATAGCACTTGGCGTCCTTGTTGAACTTGGCCGTGGGCGACCACATCTTGATGTGGAAGCATTTGTTCGCGACGAGCTGTGCTCGTGTGATCCTATCCAGCCCGAAGCGGATCGGTACCGTAGGCGTAGACGAGGCTCTGACGATCAAGACTACGATGACTATGACGAAGACGAGGAGGAAGAGGTCGGAGACAAGACACGAGAAGGCGCCGACTACGATAAAAGAGAAGGTAGAAATAGCGACTCGATGGGGTCTGTTAGTAGAAAGAAGCAGTCGAGAACTGGGCAAGCTTGTGAAAAGACTACAAAATCCTCACCGTCCACAAAAGGCCAACCATCCACTGGATCGGTATCACTCGACAAAGCTTCTCCAGAAGGTATATTCCTCCGAGAAAGGGAGCTTTAATGCTATCTGATTTTCTTACTTCTCACCATTATTCAGCTCTTTCTATTAATAAGCGAATATTGTTCATATAGTAGGCAGAGCTTATGACATGCTTGTATTGTTACTAGCTTGCCTCCAACTTTGAGTAATCACTTGGTTGATGGCGTCCTTAAAATCCTGATTCGTAGGGACTTGCCAGCTCGGATATGAGCTTCATTAGGCCTATAGGTATTTCTTTGCTTCTATTACGTCTCTTTGTTGCTAATGTTGGCGAAATACTCGCGAATCTACGTAGGCATCTAGAAAAATTAGCTTTCGAAGAGTCCTCCAAAAGATTCATGTTGGAGTATCTTTCACTTCGTTTAAAGAGGTTAGTGGAAGGGATTCGTAGGCTGGCCTCACCGTAGGCTGTAGGAGAACTGCCTTGGAGACATGACTGTAGATTTGTGTGAATAGATCCTCGGCGCATTGCCGTTAACCCCGATGAATCATTGCCAAACTTTACGATAATGTAGATGCGAAAAGAAACTTGGTTTAGATGAATCTGCTGAGATAACATCGTTAGAGGGACCTTGATTTCGTATGAAAGTGCACAATGAAGAGATTCTTTGGTCGAT